TTTACCCATAATTGATTGGTTGCGATTATCCTACATTGATTATATTGTTCGGAGACTTTAAATTATTCGTTGGTACTTGGTGCCATGTAATTTATGATGTATGATTTATATTTTGAATGCTTCTGCATAGAACACATGTTTTAGGGTTTTGTTTTATCCGACAAGATCAAAATCTAATGTACGCTCAGGTACCCAGGGTATTTCTTCGTGACCGGGTATGGGTGTTACAAATACCACCTTGAAGTATAAGGTTTCCATGAGACAGCTATAGTGTATTGAGATAAGGGTCGACTAGTGGGATGAACGCTTCCATCAAAATGGGAGGCCCAGGCGAAGCTATTGTGTAAAATATTGTTGGTCGAGGGACAAACATCATTGAAAACAAAGGAATTTTTCTTTTCCAAATTTCCCAAGAAATAGTGAAGAAGAGCACTGCTAGGTATGGCTCATAAATATATTGTATTCTAATGTTGTTGGCTGCTTGATGTATGTAATGGTATGTACTCGTCCTGATTTAGCTCATGTTGTTAGTCAAGTTTGTAAGTACATGTCTAAACTTGGTAAGCAACATTGGGAAACAGTCAAGTGGATCTTTAGGTACTTAAAGGGTACTGTGGGACATGGAATTGTTTTTGGTAGTCAGCGAGATAATCATTTAGTTGTAGGATATGTGGATTCAGACTATGCGGGTGATTTGGATAATAGAAGATCTATGACAGGGTATGTCTTTACTATTGGTGGAGGGTCTATTTGTTGGAAGTCTACTGTTCAATTTTTTGTGGCATTATCTACAACTGAAGCTGAATACATAGCAACAGCTGAAGCTGCAAAAGAAGCTTTATGGCTTACTGTTTATTGAAGGAGTTGGGTGTTCAGTAAGGTGGAGTTCAGTTGCTTTGTGACAATCAAAGTACTATTCACTTGGCTAAGAATCAGGTACATCGTGCTAGAACTAAGCATATTGATGTAAGGTTTTACAAGATTAGAGAGTTGGTTGCATCTGGAGTGATTTTGCTTCAGAAGGTACATACTGATGAGAGTGCCGCTGATATGTTCACCAAGCCAGTTACAATAGACAAGTTCATGCATTGCTTGAACTTGTTGAATGTTTCGAGTTGTTAAAGAAGTAAGGTAACCCAACCCACATTGAATGTTTCCTAAGGGGCACGATATTCGCTAAGGTGGAGATTTGTTAGGTATGGCTCATAAATATATCGGTAAAGAGGATAGAGGATATAAATATGTACCAGGGTTTATTTATTATAAAAGGAGATGTAACCTAAACCTATGAGATATTGAATAAAAATTCTAGCGCCGCCTAGGGCACCGAGGACATAAGCACATTGCTGAACCTCGTTAAAATTCTTATGTTCTTTCCATTTTCTTTACCTAATTTTTCAACAAGCACAAACCACGTGTGATTGTGGGGTCTAGAGATGGTGTCGTTCAATAGATTTTTAAAGATTTAAACCTACAAATCAAAATTGAAGAATCAAGTGGAAAGTGAGGATGGGATTACAGTCAACCAAAGGTGTCGAACTTCCATGCAATCACGTAAAACGTGAACCAAGGATTCTCTGCTACAGAAACATAAAGGACAAGTAGGATCAACAGCGATGCCACGCCTGTAACGTTCATCATTGGGCATTACATTGTTGCAAGAGACAAGACATAGAAAAAGGCTCCGTATTCGTTGAGGAACAACCAAAGACCAAATGGTTGTATATATTTGTTTAGCAGGCTCCCAAAGAGGTTTAACAAGCTTCCTGTAAGCTGAAGCAACGATGAAATTAATCTGGGATCCTCATTTCCACACACAAGTGTCGTTACTATGAGATAGGAAGGAGGGATGACACTAACAATATGTTTAATGGTGTTTTGTAGGAAAAATCTGAGTCTAACGAGCTAAGTCCCAAGTGTCATTGGGGATGACAATATCACTGAAACCAATATATACATCATCGATCTCAGGTGAAGAGGAGCAATTGCGAAGGGGACCAAGTGTGGGAACCCAACAATCATCCTGGAATTTAGTTATATTGCCATTACTAGGCATCCAAATAAGATTGTCACGGAGGAGATGCCACGATTGAGCAATTGATCACTAGAGGGATGAGCAAGTAGGGTGATCAATAGAGTCTGGACATAAAGAAAACAAATTGATAAATATAATTAAATGATTTTGATATAACAAATGACTAAATTGAAAATTTAAAAAGTAATATTTTATTATGTTCCATTCAAAAGTTTTCAATGTTTGTAAAAATAATTTTCAAGGTTTAAAGATGTTAAAAATAAATTTAAAATGTTTTTGAAAAATTACAAATCCTTAAATTATTTTTGAAATATGAAACAATAATATTTTTGAACATTTTGAGCCTAGTTTTGAAATCTCCTTAGGAGATTTCGAAACCTCTGAGTTAGTAGCCCAAATATGTTAACATTTCTCTTATGATTTTGATACCCCTTGTACTGGTTTCGAAACTCCCTGATACAACAGACAATTATTTTAATATAGGTTTTAAAACTCTCCTAGGTGGTTTAGAAACATTTGTGTAGGTTTGCATTGAAAGTGCGAATTTATTACTTCAAACGACTCCAAACTCCCTCCAACAACCTCAAACGGCTAGAAATCGATGAGGGGATATAAAAGGGGTCTTCAAACAACTAAGAAGATATAAGAAAGCTATTCTAACAGTCAAAGAGCAAAATAGTGTCAAATTTGTATTCAATTGTATTTTCTTCCATTGAACAATATTCCATTCATTGTCATTTTTATTCTATTTTCCTTGGGTGTGTGTGAGAGCTTCAATTTGCAAACAATCTACCATTGATGAGAGAAGTATCAATAATCACAAGGTAGTATTGATACTACCGATTATTTTCAACGTGTTTAAATTCCAGTAAGCAAAAGAGTATTGATACTCAAAGGAATATTGATATTACTTTGCCTAGTAGTATTGATATCATAAACCCTAGTATTGATATTGTTCATGCCCAATAGTTTTTAACGACTAGTTTATTTAAATATTACAAAGGTAGTTCTAATACTCCTAGCACAAATATCGATACTCCTTATTTTGTGTAGTTTTATTTTACAGAAAGTTAATATCCAACGGTTTCAAAACATCCTCTATGGCTAGAAATAGATACAAACTCATTCCAACATATAAATATAAGTTGATAACACTTGAATAAGGTTACAACATCTATCAAAGCAATCTACATCAAGAGAAAGCTCTTTCAATCTTATTTTTCCTTTTCTCTTGTACATAAAGTGTTTTTAGTGAGCTTAATTTGTAAACGCCTACCTTTGTGAGGTTTTTCTTGTTTACATTTTTATCTTTTGTACAAGGGGTCTGATTATAGTTTAGCCATTGAAAACTAGGGAATTTGTAAAATGTTACTATTGAGCCTAGATCCTTAGTGTAGAGCTAAGGTAGTGGATGTAGACTTCATAGAGGAAGATGAACCACTATAAATCAATATGCATATTTTTCTTATCTTATCTCCTCAATTCCCAAAATTTTCTAGAAGTCAATTCACCCCCTCTTAGCTATGTTTTCGGTTGTTCATTGAACCTAAAATACTAGAAAATTAGATTCTCAAAATTTGATATATTATGTTCACATTATTATAAAATTTTAATTTTAACTACTAAATAGATTGTAAAAATAAAAAATCATTAAAAAATATTGTAAAATTAGGTTTTTGATTAATTTTATTTGTTTTACTTTTTAAAGATTATTTCTAATTTTTTATTTAATTATTAAATGATTAATACATTTTTTTAACAATTTGGAATGTTATTACAATATTGAGATAAACAATAACAAGAAAAGTATATATCTAACAGAAAACAAAAGAAGTATATATTATTTTTCTCTTCTAAATAAGATGTTACAGTTAACATATGGTATAGAATTGTCTTAATTAGAGGTGGTAAATGGGTTATTCGGATCGAGTTTGGATCGGATCATTTCAGGTCGAGGTATTTCGGATCTAGATTATATTCGATTTAATTTTATTCAAGTTGGATCGAGTCTGGTTCGGATTTAGTTTGGGTGTATGATAAATTGGGTCGTGTTGGATAGCGAGTCAGGTCAATTTTTGGGTGTGTTAATTTTTTATTCGGGTGACTATCGGATCAGTTATTTTTCGATTCAGATCAATATTTTATTCGGTTAGATTTCAGATCGGGTTAATATCGGATCGATTGATTTTTCGATTTGAGTCAATCTTTGGATTACGTCAATTCAGATTGAATTAGTTATAAGTCTAATCAAATATATATAGAATTATTGATATATTATTGTAAAAATATGTCTTCTTTTGTTATTCTTATCATTTAGGCTTAATTTGGTTATAAGTCTAATCAAGTATATATATATATTTTCGGTTTATATTGCTTTTATTTTAGATTAATTTCGGTTCACAATTAAATTCTGTTCGGGTTGCTTTTTGGTTGGGGTTGCTTTTCAGTGAAGGTTAAATTCAATTCAGGTTGTTTTGATTCGATTCGGGTTACTTTCGATTCGAATTATTTTTCGATTCGGGCCAAATTCGATATGATTCCATATTGAGTCAGTTAAATTTGGGATCATGTATGATTCGGGTTTCAGATAAAATTTAATTATCATATATGGATTAATATCAGGTATTGAATCGGATAAATCAATTCGAATCAAATTTGACAGGTATAGTCTAAACGGATATAACACTCAAAATAAATTAAAAAAACATTATCCATTTTATCACGTCCACAAACAACAAAAATAATTTTTCTCAGAATGAATTGATATATTTAGAATAGTTATTTATTAAAAATAAGAAACCTTAAATATTTCATAATTATTTTCTATTATTATAATTTTGATTTATTATTTTTAATCAATAACAAAAATTGATATGTTTATAATCTTTGTTAGTAACTGAATAGAAACCATAAATAATACATTAAAGCCCTACTACACCTACCGTTATTCTCGAATTTCCCCTTCTACAGCCCTCCTGGCTTTGAATCATTAAAACCAGCACAAAATCCAATATATCGGCCGCCAGTACCGCGTCCACAGCTGCTCTCCGTCTCCGGTCTCAACTAACTGGGTCAGTTTCCGAAGTACATCGAACGGATCCCATTATCCTCCCTTTCACCTTGCCCAGATAAATTCTGCCTAAAACAACCTAATACGCCCTGGATCTCGATTGGAAGTTTGGTATTGCCACCTACTCAAGCCTCCGATCACGCAACATCAGAATATCCATATGGTTATTATTATTGTTGTTATTTAGGAAGTGGTGTTGGAAGTTGCTTGTTGTCGATTCTGTAGGTATTTCCAGTAGCTATGCCAGGGAATTCTAGTTGCAGCGTCTACATAGGTCGGTTTTTGCTAAGAGAAACAACATCTCTATTGTTATTTATTTATGTATGAAATTATTATTATTTATTTACGTTGTGCACTTACCTGGATTTTTTTAATGGAAAAATAAAAGGAAATTTGGACGAAAGGGTATGCCATAGAGTTTTGTACGATATTCTTATCCAAGCAGGAAAGGTAGTAGATTTGTATATCCCTCGAGACAAGGAAACCGATAAGCCCAAAGGATTTGCCTTTGTTGAATACGAGAACGAGGACGTTGCTGATTATGCTATCAGACTTTTTTCTGGCCTTGTTACTCTCTAAAGTTCTTTTCTTTTTTATGTTGAATTTATGCTAACTCTTTTATCATTAGAGGGTAAAGTTTCACTTGTTTGGGCTATTCTACACAAGCAAATGCCAGATTTAGTACGAATTAGTAATTAAGCGGTGTAAATGGAAATATTTCCGTTTCCTTTGTGATCCTTAATCTTGATCTTCTTAGCTTATTTGTGCAAGTATCAAGATATTAACTGAAATCCCTAACAGATTTCTGGGCAAGACAAGGCTTCACAAAACCCTCTCAGTGCAGCCACATCTGCTACATCGAGGCAGTACCATGGAGTAGTTAATCACATCGAAATCTCTCAGCAGCTAAAGAGGTCATCAACCCCTTCTAGGATCCCAGATTATTCTGCGCATTACACCCAAGGTGATTATTTTTCTCTTATTTGTTTCTTCTATTATTTTTTTTAGACTGTCACTTCATTGCCTATCGAGTTCCATGAGTGCTAAAAAATTCGTTTTGATCCAGTGCTACATCCCCCTGGTGTTTCTCACCACTCTAATGGGTATCGATCACGTTTCAATGATACCAATTATGAATACAGTTGAAGGGTTTTTGGGTCAACATTGGATAGCATTAGTAGCCCTAGGTCACGTCGTTACGAAACAAGTGACCCAATTTCATATCCATCTTACTGATATTTATTATGATAGCTATATGACGGTAAAATTCTTACATGATGCACTTAATATTGGGGGACGGTTGTAGTTATTAAAAAAGATAGGTGGTAGAGTTATGATCAAGAAGGTGTAAAGTTAGCATCTGTTGTAATTTATTTCGTGGGTCCCATCATTGTTTGTTTATGAATACTACAATTTCATATTTTCACTCCCTTTAAAACGTTGTATTTCTTTCCTTTTGGATAGTTATGATTGTATCTTTGCCAGTAGGCTGAAACTGAATATCAAATAATTTCCCTGCCATTTGTTTTTCTTTCTTTTAGATGTAAATTTATAATCTACAGTGAACTGGAACTGAACTCTACCAGAACGATATGCATTCGAATCTAGATAGTAAGCTTTCTTATGGATGCTTGGTAACCAACATAAGGTTTAGGTTGAGTGCGATGTTTTTGACATTATCATTATTTTTCATGTTTACTAAAAGGATGTGGAGTTTAGACCTCATGTTTTTCACTAAATGCTTTAAAGCAATAGTTTTAATTACTTTGAGTAAGTGTCAAGGCTTGCCCTAAGTTATAGTTTCTAAAAGCTTGGTCAAACCCATGATAAGATCGCATCTTGCTACCATGGATAAGTATGGTTGAAGTTTGGTTTACGAAGGAGGTTCTAGTTGAGGATAAATTCTGTCACCTTAAGTTACCCAATTCACCTTAAACTTTTAACCGTGAAGGCTATGACCAAACCTATCCGATTTCATGTCGGCTTCCATTGGCTGGTTACTGAAGGGGAGAAGATTTTGATTCTCAACCACCCTCTTTTAGTTCCTTATCAAACTCAACAAGTTTGGTTTAGCATTCTATTTGCTCAAGTGAAGCATTTTCCAAAGTGTTATTCTTATTGCGTGCAATCTGTTATGTTTCCAACATGTTAACATGTTGAGAGTGAGATAAATCATAATTTTGGTTTTTTCACATTGAGAACTATAAAATTAGGTGACGAGTAGATATAGCAATCCATCATGATCAAGGTTACCCTCTCTACATGACTTGAAATTCATCTCTCCTCGTTGCTAGTTGTTATGTTGTCGTTGTTAGGTTTTACCTAAAGGTATCTCAATCTGATTATTATTTGAGACCCCTGGTATTGGAAAAGCATCTTCTTAGTATTATTAGACCTAGAGACCCCTTGAATTAGAAAGCATGCTCTCAATCTTATAAGAATAAGATGCGTTTTGTTTTGTATTGGTGACTTCACCAAAACCCCCTTCGATTGGGAAAGCATTGCCATATTAGTATTATGGTGTGAATTGGGAAATAGAGACCCCTAGGTTTGTGAAAGCATTTTTCACCGTATAAGATGCGTTTTATTTTGTACTTGGTGGTAATTGTCTTCGTTTGTCTCGTAGGGATTGATTTTGGCAGGGGATAAATATTAAAATTATATGTGCATTTTGATCCCATATTAAATGCGACATGTAGTTTGATTTATTTTTGGCTTAATTGAAAAATAAGTGTCCAAATTATATTTCTTGTTTATTTTAGGTGTCTAAAGTTTTTTGTTTAAGTAGATGTCTAATGTTTTCAACCTTATCATTTTAAGGTAAATTTTGTCATGGTCGTCGAAAAAATTGTTAGAAATTTGTTAACCAATCAGTGTTTAACATATATATTTTTTTATTCATTTAGTTTTTAAATAAAATTCAAAATTTTCTTCTTTTTTTCCAGTAAACACCCCAAATTTAAAAACCATAATTCTTAAGTATCTAAAATCCTAATTTCTTACTTAAGTTTAGGGTTTTAGGATATTAGGGCGACAATAAGGGGAATAGTCAATAATGGAGTTCTGTGAGGGTCGGTGGGAGTTCTTCGATGACAGTGGCAACTAACAACAGTGATAGGTTTTGAAAGCCACTAACAACAGTAATAGGTTTTGAAAGCCACTAACAACAATAATAGGTTTTGAAACCCGAATATCACACTTAAAAAAACCCGATCCGACCCGACCAAAATAAAGTTTCACCCGACCCGAATATATGAATTAGAAACCCGACCCGACCCGAAATAATAAAAAAACATTTTTATTCAATATATGAATAAGTTACCAAAGGATTGATGAATGTAGTCTGGTCAAATTTCAATTCCCTCCAACAAGGGAATTGAATTCCATCCATTTTTTGATGGAATTCACTTTCCCTCATTTGATGGAATTGAATTCTATCAGGAATTCCAATTCCATTGAAAAACTTGAACCAAACATGAGAAAGTGGTGGAATTGGATTCCAATTCCCACCAATTCCAAGGGATTCCATCCAACCAAACGCCACCTAATAGACTTTGAAATTAGGAATTTAGGTTTTGGGGATTTACTGTGTTTAGAAATTAAGTTTAAAAGTTTTAGGGATTTAGGGTAACGATAAGGGGATGTTTGATAATTCGATCTGTTGATGGGTGGGTGGGGGCGTTATCGATAATGGATTTTAAAATTAGGAATTTTTTTGGTATCAATGGTATTGGAGATTTAGGGTTTGGAAGGTTTAAAAAATTAAGTTTAGGGATTTAGACCACGTATCAAGTGACTTTAGTGATAAAAATGATGATTCTAGGCTTGTAAACGAACTGAACGCACACAAACGTATGTATGTTCATGTTCGTTCATTTAATAAATAAACGAACACGAACAAAAAAATTTTTGTTCATTAAGGAATATAGTTTGTTCATGTTCGTTCATTTAAATGATAAACAAACATAAACAAACGTAAACGAACAAAAACGAACGAACATAAACGAATAACACAAACACAAAAAACAAACTTTTTCGAGCACAACAAATGAATGTAAAAAAAAGTAAACAACAAGAATAACAACTTAAAATTCATTAATATAACCTGCAACTTTAGAGTTAATTTGTTCGAATACGACAAAAACATACATAATCATAAATAAGCTATATGAATATAATAAAGTCTCAAAGTTAATTTGTTCAACAAAATAATCTTCTTGAAATCCAAATAACTTCAATAATCTTCGTAATATATTCAACTTGTATTCTGTTAGAACATAAATGAACGAAAATAAATGAACGGACATAAATGAACATAAATGAACATAAATGAACGAACATATAATCGAACGTTCACGAACGTAAATGAACGAACAAGCCCTTTGTTCATATTCGTTCATTTAATTAAACGAACACAAAATCTTGTTCATGTTCGTTTTAAATGAACATAAACGAACTTCCCATCGCACAGTTCATGAACGGTTTGTTGAACGTTCAGTTCATTTACAGGCCTAGATGATTGTTATCTCTGAAGGTTTTGAGTTATAGCAGCAATGATGGTAGAATATTTGAAGTTTCATTGTTAAGTGGTTGAGTCTTTAGAACATGTACTACTATTTGTAATCACCCTAGATTACTAAAAAGAAATTTAGGAGATCATGATGACGATAAGACTATGATTGATTGTGGAAGTTTGATGGGTGGGCAAGCATTTGGCAACAATGGTGGTGGTTGACAATGATAATGTGTTTAGTGATTTAGGGGCGAGATTTTAAGATTTTAGAAAAAATATTTTTTTATATTTTTAAATAAAATTTTTAAAAACTTATAAGCGTGATGTGTTTAATTGTGGTGACGAAATTGTTCTTAAAATGTTAACTTTGAAGTTATTATATATTTATTTTGATTAAAAGAACTTCAAATAACTTAAATTATAGGGTGTAATTTAGATATTTAATTTTCAACTAATACTCTATTTATTCAATTAAAAAAAGGTTTAGGTAGATTCGTTTTAAAATGGGTTGGTGTCTTCACCGACCTCAAATTTCAGATTGAAAAAAAGAAAAAATTGTTATTTTAAACTTTTTTTTTTTGAGTTTTATGTTTGTAATCGATTGAAAATATTTACTTTATCAAATCAGTCGTCTTATATTCCCGTTAAATTAAAAATTTTGAGGTTCCCTTTCAAAAATTTGTTCTTTTTGTAATTTGATACCGTCAGATTTATGCATAGGTAAAATTTAAAGTATAAAGAGTTTGCAGTAGGCGTACAATTATAGTAAATAGCATATATCATTAACGGTTAAGCAAATAAAAGATCTTTTTATATAGAAAACGGAGTAATTATATTTAATCATGTTTTACATCAATGATGGAGGACTTAATTTATGTCATCGATTATCGGGAATTTTGCCTTTTTTTAGGGGAAATGCCAAAATACTTATTAAAATTCAAAAAACATTCAAAATATAAAAATGTACTAAAATGTTTTAAATACAAACGTTCATACGAACAAGTCTTCATCTGGTGTTTATGATGAGTGTAGATTTTGGTTTTCTAAAACTCGAGATTATATGGATTTGAGTTTTTCCATTGTTTACTGAATCATTGTTTTTCTTTTATTTTATGTAATTAAGCAGTTGGTTTTGATTGAGAAATATTAGATCAGTTGTTTTTGGAAAATAAAAGTTTAAGTTTTAAAGTAAGATTTTTATTTTAAGTATAATTATGCCATTATTTCTAAATTATAAGAGTTAAAAAATTTATTTTTATATTTGTTTGATCTAGACTGAAAAATAATTTGTTTTAATAATTTCTTATTTCCAAATGTTTTTGTTAGTTTATTAAACTTCTTATAATTTTATATAATTTATAAGTTTTATAAATTTCATAGTATTTTTATTTGAAGTAATTTTAATATTTAATTTCTTTTAAAAAAAAAATTGGTTTCAATATTTTTATTTTTCCTTATTTATAAATGAATTTTAGACTTTCCAACAGAATCCATCAAATTATTTTGTCATCAAATTATCATAGTTATAACTAGGTAGAATTTTGTTTTTAGAAAGATCTATATTAGTTTTTTAAAGTTTAAGGTCTCAAGCAGGATGGACCTAGGCGGGGCAGGTGGAGACAGTTGCCTCGTTAAATTTTGTTTTCAGAAATTACTATATATTTTAGATTTTATCTATGTATTTTCTATTGAAAATTTATAAGTTCAAGTTTATCCCCTGAAATTTTATAAGTTCAAGTTCGTCATTTGACATTGAATTTTGCTTCCATCCCTGGTCTCAAGATACCTCTTATAATATAGTTATAATTAAAGTATTATGTTTTAAGTTTCTAAAACAGTAAGACAAGTGTGGAAAACTAACAATGTCCTAGTTTTGATATGAAACAGGTTTAAGGCGGAGTTTGGTTGGGATTAATGAAAGAGTCAATAGATTTAAATTAGAATGTCAGACTTTAGAAGTAAAAAAGGTATGCATATTCTTTTTAAAATAGTGTTAAATTTAATTTTA